AAAGGCTCCATGTGTCAAAGGGGCTTGTGTGGTTGGTAACACCACAGAAGTAATTTGTAAGGTCTGCTTGAATTTTTTTCTGATTTGTTGACTCTTAGCCCAAGTCCACTGCCTCCTTGCCAGGTTTCTAAGCACATGTGTAAATTGACACAAGCAGACCTGAACCAATTTTATTATAAGGATGGTTGGCTCTACATCAAGCAAGGGGAGCCAAGGGACTGGGGGTTCTTGTCTGAGGCATAGAAGGACACTAGCATAGGCTTTGTCAAGGCTGTACTGTCAGAGCAGCTGATTGTAAACCCAGATTTCCTTCCACAGGATAAACTGACTGGTAGCCTGTAGTGCACAGTTTTCACATCCCTGGGCAAAGCACGGCCTCAGCACACAGATACATTTGCAGAGAGAAATACAGAAAGTGGGTGTTGGGGAGGGAAGGGAGTGGGAGATGGACATAGGAAGGAAGTATGGAAGAAGTAAGGAAAGAAGGTAAGTGAGGAATGAGGAACAGGGGAAAAGAAAAGGAAAGAAGAAGGTAAACAGAAGGAAACAATTAGAAGGAGAAAAGAAAAGACCTGGATGGAAAAATGGGAGAAGAAAAAACAAAGAAGGAAGGAAGGGGAGAAAGAGGAGAAAGGGAAGAAATGTGGTAAGAAGAGTTAACATGTCCCAGAGGGAAGCCACACGGATAAGCATGGATTCAAGGGTATTTCCCGTTAATAATCATGACTCAGTGATTTCACTCTTCTCTAGCTCCTATATCACTAAATATTTGTTTGCCCAACTTAGCACTTCATTAGTTCATGTCTGATTCTCAAAATGGTTTGCAGATATTATACCATTTCCTCAACTAGACCACAGGCTTTTTGAGAGCAGGGTTCTTACATTTCTTTTGTTCTCTGGCCATTCCCTGTTCTTCCTAGTCCCTAGGACAGTGCTGAGTATCTGAAAAGCAGTGAATTACCTGAGCATTCACTGGGTCCCTGGTAACTGCCAATTTCTCTTGCTATAGGTGAGCAACTGTCTTTTTAAAAATTTATTTTTATTGATTTCAGAGAGGAAGGGAGAGGAAGAGAGAGATAGAACCATCACTGATGAGAGAGAATCACTGAACAGCTGCCTCCTGCATGTCCCCCACTGGGGATCAAGCCCACAACCAGACATGTGCCCTGATTAGGAATCAAACCATGACCTTCTGGGTCATAGGTCAAAGCTCAACCACTGAGCCACACCGGTTGGGCAGCAACTATCTTTTTATTCTTTATGCAGCCAAATGGAAGTATTGTTACCTCCAATGCTTGTCATATGTCATAAGTTTTCCTGAGGTGCTGTGAGATCTATAGAACACATTCATTATAGCCTGTCTAAGCAACAGAAAACTCATTCAATCATGAATATATTGTGACAGGTAGTTATTTAGGAGAACATACATACTATTAAATATACATACTATTAAAAATTACGCAGGTGGGCAATCTTACCAACACTACTGGGAACATTTCATCTACCCTTTTCCCTAGCTACAGTCTGGGAAAGAATGCTCTCCACTTAAGGCTGATCTGAATCTCCTTGAAACTGACCAGATATTTTAGTTTTGTATTTCAAGAGGTATGCTTTTTTTGTGTGTACAGAAACGCAAATGGTTCAGCCCTGTGGTGGGAAATGTGCATGTGGCCATGCACCATACAGTGGTCTCATGCCCAAATGACAGGCCTTTCTACATCCTCCAGCATCTGCAGCTATGTTATGTCAAATCTGGTTTTCAGAATCAAAGCTTCCACTCAGTGGGCCTTGGGAAGAGGCTGCAGGTATATACTAGTAGAACGAGCAGCCAGACACACTTGGAGAACTGGGTCTTAGTCTCCAAAAGAATACACAAGTTGGGGGAGGGGCAGAGGGATCTGTCCCATTGGCCGTAAGATAGGCATATTCACCTGCTAATGCTCACCTCCTTGCTCCTTAGGATTGAAGGGTTCTGGGCTGCTGTGGGAGAGTCTCTGTATTGATCAGAAACCATTTTCCAGATGGTGCTGCCATCTGAAGAGCTAATCTGCTTGGGCCCAGGACATGGTTTTTGAGTCAGCACAGCTTCAGGGAGCCATGAGCCCCTACTGCCTTTTCCCTGTCTTCCTCTGAATGAATTGCTTATTGGTCATATGTTGTTGATACATCAGAGCTGAGTGAATGAGAATGAGTGGTTTAAAAGCAGCAGAGAAGAGAAAGATATGCAATTATCATTTTCAAGAGCAGGGATAATATTTAACTGGAAAGTGGTCTATTATTGGGTTATACAGTTTTAGGGAGCCTGTGCAATTTACCTGGCCAGGAGAACTTAAATTAATTCCTGTCTCTCCTTCCATTTCTCATCATTCTTATACCTGTATGTGGCCTTTGGGGAAATCCTAATAAAAACAGCTGCAGGCTGGATTGAGCCTGTTTTCCTTGCTGTCATCAGCACTGGGAGAGGCAGAATCTAAATGTAATTCTACAACATTTGTGGTGATGGCGATGGTGTCCTATGTGAAGGAAACTGTTGTTCCAGGTGTTATTTTTAAAAAGCTGTCCTACTGGAGTCAGCACCCCTCCACCCCCATGCTGTGAAGGGCAGGAGGAAGCCACTGCCTAAATGCAACATTGACCAAACCTTGTGTGTGAGGGGGGCGGGGAGAGGGCACCCTGTGACCCTCGAGGCAGGTGCACCAGGCCGCCGCACTGGACAGCCTCGGCATGAACGGGCTGGCTGCGGCTCTGGCTCCGGGATTATGAGCCTTTCGCAGCTGGTGCAAGGACAAGGCCCTGGTGGATACTTAGCCGGCAACCTTTCATTATTTTGTTTTCTGCTTAAAGCCCCGAGGATATGGAATCCCAGCATAGAGCAATCATTTGCTGTCTGGATTAAAAAGTCAATATCCTTTCAGCTTCACTGGGATAGAAAGAATATTTAGTCCAATCACTAGCACCCAGGAGTTTTTAAGTCAGAGCACTTTTTCCATATATTTTTTTACCTCAGGCGCGAGAGAAAGGTTTGACAGTTCTCCTGAGCATTTCCTTCAGGAGCTGGAGGGCTGTCTGGGGGAGACCCTGTGTATTTCGTCATTATCTTGTAAATGAAAGTACCAGTCTGAGATGCAGTGGAATTCCCTTTGACCGAATCCCTTCCTGGAAGGCCCATCATTTGATGACCAGAGACCAGGTACGTGAATGCTCTGCTCTGAGATGTCTGAGGAGACCACACAGGCCTCACCCGACGGACACTCTGTTTTGAGGGTGAGAATAAAACAAGAGCTTCTACTCCACCAAAATAATTCATTATTTATCACCCCCGGTGATTTTACACGCACGTACACACACACACACACACACTTCACAGATGCACAGATCAGCAATCCACACTTGCTGGAGCAGATGGGACAAGCGCCCTGGAATTCATCAATAAAGAACAAGTGGATCCTTTGGCCATTTCAGCTCATACTAAAACCCAACAGCTTCTCCACAAAGGCTTCCCACTTAGGATTTCCACACAGGGGAGGAAAGACATCAACAATACAAGGGAAGACAATGGCAGCAATAGGAATAATTTCTTGAGGGCTTACTCTAGGCCAAACACATTGGTGTGAGCAGTATTACATTTAATTCTCCAGGCAAAGGTAGTGGACATATTAAGGAAGAATGGTATTGGTGAAGGAAAAAAAAAGCAACAAAGAAGCCTTTCAAAGCGTTATTTCAACAAAGTGACATCTCCAGCTCTCCCCTCTCATTTCATGTAAGCTAAAATGAGCATTTTCTAACACCTCCCTATCCATATGAGGGGAGCCCACCAAGGAGACAACATTATGACTCTGAACTTCAAGAATCCTACAGTCTCCTCATTCCCTTTCACTCTGTTTGGTCTACCCTATCACCAGCTGTGAGAGCATAAAAGGGCATGCATCTCTGTGACTAAAATATACCTTTTATTCCAGATGACTTCTCTCAAAGGCAAAGAATAAGCCCTATTAGAAAGGTCAAACAGTTGTTCTGATCATGAATTGGTAAAATCATTTGAATCAAAATAAGAACACAGTGTAGTGATGTAATTGATACTGACCATTGTATTAGAATGACAATGCATGCATTTCAGGGTCAGAGGACTGCCGGCTGTGCTCCTGGTCCTACACACCCCATGCTCTTTGCGGTGCTCTATGGAAGACCTTCTTATTTCCATTTTTCTCCCCAGCAGGACGTTTAACAAGCTACTCAGTGACAGGCCCTGCCTCTCGGTTTGATTCTGTGTCCATCCCTTTCCAGGGCTCCCGCAGGCAGTACTGGTTAATGACATCACTTTATTTCGCCAGGGGCCCTCTCATTGTTCACCGGAATTCCATACATAACTTGAGCTCTTGTGCCCCTTCTCTTCAGGCACACAAACACTGCAGTGGGCCAGGAGTACAGCAATTTGCAAATGGAAGAAACAGCCACAGAGAAATGAGGAGTGATGTCCTGACTCTGGAAGTGACCCTGGAGGGACAAAGCTGACTCAATGGTTATTTTTGTCATTTAGAGAATAATGCTGAAAAACAACCATCAATACAGTTTTCTTGAGAGCCATATCAGATCTTTATGTTATTTGAGGTGATTTTTCCTCTCTTGTGTGGAGTCCTTAACATAGAATTCTGTGAGAACATGGTCTAAGGATAATGCTCCATTAGCTACCCTGACCTGATTTCTCCCTTGTTTTGGGAACTTTTGGGACAACCTGCAATTTTAAATCCCTCATATGCTTTTTAAAGTAATTTGGAATCTGCTGAAAAAGTCACTGTCATTTTGGATAACTGCTCTTCTTTCTACAAGACAAAAGTGAAAAGAAAACAACAATCTGCCCCAAACCCAGGTCTTGTAGAGGAGAAATGCTGACTGACCTCCATAGGTTAGTGCACCCCTACTGCAGCTCACAGGCCCCCCTGCAACCAGAAACTGACATGTCAATTCCAGCAGTGCAAGTCCCCTCGAGAGAAAGAATTTACCTTGGAGTCCAGCTGCTGCATGTATGACCAAAGATATTCTATATTGGCTCCGAAAGGATGGACATGAAGAAACGTTGATATGATGCCTGAATTAAAGAGACAAATATTGGACATTATTAAGAGGCAAATAAGAGTCTCATCTATGAGATGACATGTCATAATGTCACCTAACTCCAATGATGGTTTTGTCAGGCTAAGTTATTTATGGTCTTGCCATTTCTAACAAGCACTCAGTAACAGCCACTCTGAAGACAGTCACAGTAACATGACAGACAGAACTACCTCATGGATTATAGTAGTTGGAGAAGCTAGAGCCTGAAAGACGATGTAGATGAATAAAGGTATTGCTAAACAAAGGCTCCTGGAAGCATTTCAACTACCAATTTTATGCTTGATTTACCAATATAAAATTGTAGTTATTAGAAGGATAAAATTATCTCTTTTCTTTCCCTCGGTGGACTTTGTCGTGTGAAAAAGGCTCACACAGCTGTGTCAGAAATTACGCTGCCTCAAATTTCCCTGATAATTATAGCTGCTAGTTATGAAAAGTATTTAATCCATATTTCCCCTAACTGCCACTGAAGGAAGCATAAATCCTTTCTGAAGCCTTTGCTATTGCTCCCTGGTTGCTGCTGCTGTTTGAAGGGAGCCCGCTTGCTTTCTCCTCTCTGCTGTAACTTACACGATCATTCAAAAGGTCCAGGAATGGATGGTTTGGCTGGAGTCTGATTATAGATCAGAAGACTTTAAAAATAAATAAATAAATAAATAAATAAATAAATAAATAGGCTTTTCTAACGTGAAAAAAATCAACTGTCAACACTGTGCTGATAAATGAAAAGCTTGATGTTGGTGTCAGGGCTGAAGTAGAAGCATTGCCTTTCTACTTCTCCCTGCTCTCACATACAAAATCAAAGTAGTGGGCATGAGGACCCTGCTTCCATTTGTTAAGAAACCGTGTTTGGATGACACTTGTTTAGTTCTCTGTTAAGCAGGCTTTGAGATGACTTAAATCTGAGGATAAGCCCTCACATTGTTTATTTGGAAGCTTTGATGCTTGAGAGCCAAAGCAAAGGGTCGCCCACCTTGTATGAAATGCGGTCAGGGAGAGCCCTAGACAAGAGCTCCTCATTCTTGTACGAGGGCACCCTGTGAATAGCCGGTGACCTTGGATTGATCTGGGGTAGGCTCTCATGGTGCCCTGATCGCCTGTGTGATACTTGGAATCTCTGGGATGCCTGCCAGTTTTTAAAGAAAAGTTACCAGTTTATTCTGAAGCGTCTGGATAAGAGCTCTCAAACACCTGTCCTCAGAACCCTGCTTTTAGGTGGGCTGTATTGGTTTGCAGTGAAATGAGGAAGATAGAAATAATGCATTACATTTCTCCATAAAGCTCAAAGCTCACTTTCAGAAGTGGATCTGTTTTTCTTGAGATATTAAAGCCCTACTATTTTATTCTGAGACCACATTCTTCCTTTTTTGCTAAAATGTCTTTTTATGAAATAATGGTGATGATAAAAGGTAATAATGGTAATGTTAATATCTTTAGGTGGCAAATCGCCATTTTTAGTGTACTTAGGTGGCATTGTTTGGTTCCCCTCCTGTGGGAAGAGCTCAGGAGATTTATCCCAGTGCAGTGGCAGATGCAATGGCGTGAGCACACTCTGCCTGTACAAGCTTCCTCAGCACATCGGAAAGTGGCAGCGCCCGCCTGAGCAAACCCCCTAGAGCCCCTACATAGTACCCTGGTCTTTTCTACTATTGGTTGCCCTAAGGAAATTGTAAACTTCTGATTGGTCTAGAATGTTATATATGTTGCTGCACTTACACAATAAACTTAGATCTGCGTCACTGAACCTGGTCTCCAGAGTCGGGCATGCTTCGTTAGGACTCTGTCGGCCTCACCCCCGCGGGACCCCCTGCTTCACCCTCCTACCGCTGGGTGCATGTGGGAAGGGCCAAGCTGTACATCCATGCCGGCTTTTCCCAGCACCAGGCCTGGGGACAGGTCAGCCAAAGTCCCAAGGCACCCCAAGACGCACCGCCCCCTCTCACTCCACCAGCTGCCAGTTAGGCTCAGTCACTGAAAGAGCTGCATGAGGCAGGTGCAGTAGGGGTGAGTGGTGTTCACCAGACTGTTAGCAGTTCAAACTCGGTGACAGCGCTGGGCCTGAGGCCACTCAGCAAATGTCTCCAGTGATACCAAGTCTAGCTGCCACCCACCGGGTGCTTGCACACCTTTGTGTTGGTGTGGGGTCTCAGGGAGTCATCAGGTGAGGCCAGCAGAGAGTGGGCCTACCCCGATTAGTGCTGTTTAAAGATCATCAGGTCTTGTGGTTTGTCACAGGGCCAATCCCTCCCACTCCCCTCTTTTTGTCTTGTGACCTTATAAACTTTTTTGTTTACCTGATGAGAACAAAATATCAAGTTGTACATTCAGTTTTTTCAGTGCAGTATTCTCTTTGAGTTGAATGAGAAATGGGATCCTACCAGAATATACTTCCCTTCTTCAGGCTGCTTGGAGTTTCATTCCACACTGTCACCTTGTATAGTTCTGGCTGAGATTAGCTTCCCCTAAATCCACACTGGTTGCTAGTCTTCTGGGAAGCCCGGAAAACTGTGGGCCTATCTCTCTAGAAACCAATGGAGGCCTGACCATAGCCAACTTGAAATATTCTGGCTTCCTATAGCAGCCCATTCAAAGGCTCTAAGGGAGTAGCAGGAATGATGCTATGTGAAATCTGGGTCTTCCGCAAAGCCACGAGGGCACAGTTGTCTATGAGCAGTGCAGAGTGATAAAGCAACTATGGGAAGTGGAGAGAGGGAAGACTGTGAGTCAGTGGCAGAAGACTGATCAAACACTTGTGGTTTGAGCTGATGGTTCTCAGCACCTTGAAATTCTAGAAAGCTTAAAGTCCCAAAAGGAGTTTGGTCCACTTATTTGGTAAGTACTCTATTTGGGCCTTTCAGTAAATTTCTCCTTGTATCTGAAATGGCCTTGGAACTCCCTTGTTTATCCAGAGAAACTCCATGTATTGTTTCTTCTGACAAGGCACCTATAGCATAAGTAGCCCCTCTCTGTGTTTCTGATTTTAGTACGAATCACATTTCATTGTCATTAACTTCTTTCTTTCTCACTCATCTATGAACTTCTTGAGGTAAGAGATCATCTTGTCACCATTTCTTTGCTAACACAGTTCTTGTCATATGGCAGGCCAGTAATGCTCAGAACGTGGTCCCAGAAGTGCCTGCTTCAGTATCACCTCAGATTTTAGTTTCACAATACACAGAAGCTGTGCATGCATGGCTAAAGATTCTGCCTTTTAATCAGGCTGCCTAGATCAGCGGTCACCAACCTTTCAGACATTACGGGCCACCAGTGGTTCGCAGACCACCAGTTGGTGACCACTGGCCTAGATGATTCCTTCCCACAATGAGGGTCATTTTTACAGAAAGTTCTCGACAAATGTCTGCTGATTTATTGATATGGGCATTTGTGTCTGGAAACAAGAGTTAGGTCACCTTTCATGTGAGGTTACAGTAAGAGGACAACTGTCTATGAGGAAGTGAGCCCTCACAAGACACAGAATCCGCCATACCTTGATCTTAGACTTCCCAACTTCCAGAATTGTGAGAAATGCATTTGTTGTTTATAAGCCCCCACTCCACCTCCTCCAAAAAGATTTAGGTCAATGACTCATTCTATGGTCAGTAGTTTCTAGAGGAGAATACACTCCCCCAATTACTTTTCTCAGGCGCAACCTAAATATAGTCTCAACTCTATTCACTGAAAACATCAAAACATCACCAGTCAACCTTTATTAAGTGCATGTGCCTACATTGCATTCTACTTCCTAATACCCAGGGATTAGGGGGAACATTCCAATTCAGATGTAAACTAGTCTGTGCAGATGTGTGAAACTGGACAGTGACGGAAACCATGGTGGTGGTAGGGGGAGAGCTTGATGTAAAGAAGCATCTTGGTTACACATGATATGTATGTCCTGACCTGCAGAGGAGCCGGGCATATGTAAAGGGTGTGCCTGAGAGGAAGACCTGGAGGATGCAGCCAGGCTCGGGGAAGTTCAGAAGAACAGCTGTTTTATAAGAAGAGTTATTGAGAAGGTTTGGACTGTATCTGGATGGGATTTACAATGATGACTGGCAATGACAGGGGGCCCAGGCTGCTGGGATTAGAAATCTATTGTAACAGAACAAATTAAAAAGCAAGAGAAGTTGGAGTGATACAAACCCAGAGTTTGTCTGTCAACATCTCTTCCAAGCTGTTTGTCTCTCAATAAAAAAATTTTGACCCATTTTCCTTCAAAACAATAGCCAGTGGTTTCCAGCCAAACACAGCTTCAAAGCTTTGGTACTAAATCAAAAGTATTGACTCATTTTATCTCACACAAGTTCAATGCATGCCAAAACCAACATGTAGGCCATATGCGAAATGAAGGAAGAGTCATAGCATAGGCACCAGGCAATGTCAGGCTGCTCTAATGTGTCGTGGGATATAAAATGCTACGCTGCTATGCCCCCATAAAAATGCAATTCTTTTAGATCCAATTATATGTCAACCTGTCTTCACAAGGAATGATTGCAAAATTATCCACAAATCACAATAATAAAGTGCTTTCTAAGGGCCTATCTCCTTTAGTTGAATTGGAACATAGCACTCTGTCCCATTAACTGCCAAGCAGAAAATCTGACAGAAAGTTGGAACTCCCAAGGGACTTAGGATTCAAATCTATAAAGCTCCAAATAATGTTACCAATGAAATCCCACTGCTCTTCTGTGATATGTACCTAATTGACATGCTTAAAGACTCCAATTTTATAAAAATTGTCATGAGAATGTCTAGAAAGCATACGTTTGCTCAGATAAATTAGTGTCACAGATCATCACTAATAACTAGGATCACCTGTTGTTGGGAAGTTCTAGCCCTAGTTTTTTTTTTTTTAATCCTCACTGGAGGATATATTTCTTTTTACTGATTTTTAGGGAGAGAGAGAGAGAGAGAGAGAGAGAGAGAGAGAGAGAGAGAGAGAAACATTGATCTGCCTTCCATATGTACCCCAACTTG